ACAGACGGCCAGATAGAGAGATGGACAGACAGACAGAATAGAAAGCAGAGAAAGAATATTAACACGGTGAAAATAGAAATAGAATGAGAGTAAAATCAAGAATTCCTCCAAGCAATAAGCTGTCAACAAAATCAAACAAATTGATTGCTTGTCCTTAGCAAGAATAGTAGTGATATCAAAACTATCAACATAACAACATCACATCTACCAATGAAGACGTATCCACAACTACTCGAAGCATGCTATGACTTATTGAGCATGCTCAGTTAAGGTAAGAACACAAGTCAGAATCCCACATGGCTGAGTTCAAAGATAATTCACAYAGCTTTCATTCAGAGTTCAAATCTGTCAACACTGGTTATTTACGTGCAAAATATTGATCATTCTCTTACCTCTTTGATGTGCGTGACATACTCTGACGGGAAGTACCCACTTCGATCAGCGAAAATCCCAAAGTACCAACCCTCATCGAGGTCGGGCTTGTCAATGATTTGAATTACGTCACCCTTTTTGAAGTTCAGCATGTTTGCCTCTTGTGTCACGTAATCGTACATGGCACGGACGTARTTGGCTTCCTGTTGGRCACGCAATCATGTATCTCAGTAAAACAATAKCWATTGCGTWGATGGCGTGACGTAGGTAACGCATAAAACGAAATGCGATTGGTTGATGTTACTGACCTTCTCTATTTGAATAAGATAAGGATCGATCATCAATTTAACCTCCTCAGCCTAAGAGATTAAACAAAGGAAATATTGTTATTGGGTGTTATTCTAGAATAGGGTGTGGTTTGTATTGTCATGTCCATGGTTTACGGGATGGGGATAGCCTTATAATCCCTATGAGGTTGTAGGTTGGGGATAGCCTTATAATTCCTATGGGATGTAGGGTGGGGATAGCCTTATAGTTCCTATGGGATGTAGGGTGGGGATAGCCTTATAGTTCCTATGSGGTATAAGGTTGGGATAGCATTATCCTCTAATCTATTACTTACCTTGTTGGTAGGAACAGATATTTTACTCTCCTTGAAGGAAAAAACAACCTTGTTCTTAACCACACGAACTTTATCAATGTCTTCATATCTGTGATGGATACAACGTTGTMATTAATATTGTGATTAACCTGTGTCGTCTTCACCAAACGAACCAAATCATAAATCATGCAATAATGGTACTTACAAAATTTCGTTCACGATGGAAAGATCTTCTTCGATTTTTTCTCTRTTCACTAAGAAAACRCCCTTTTCCCCAACAAAGATGTAATTTATYTCTGGCAGCTCGTTCTGACCCTGCAACAAAGTAGACACTTGATTGGTTTTACTCTGAGCATTTGACTGGTTTTCATGTACAGCAGCACTTTYAGCGCACATAACACCCGATTGGCTTTTCATAGCGCACTTTATTGGCTTCCACAGAAAATTTGATTTTCAATATTTCATAATTCTAGAGGATGTGCCTGGTTTATTACAATGCATTTGACTGGCTTCCTGTAGAGGAGCATTTGACTGGCTTCCTATAGACGAGCATTTGATAGGCTTTAATACTTACCATTACAGTGTAGAATCGGCTAAAATACAAGGGTAGATCTCTAGCTGTTTGAACGATGATTTCTTCTACTGGTGTACTGGAGTGTGGGTGTTCAGGAGTAATGCCGTATCTCTCTGTAACAGCCACAAGAATATGGTCAATAATAGTACGTAAATTGTAACAAATGGCTTCATATCGTGATTAAAATGAGATAAAAGTACTGGGAACAATAGTTGACTTACGTAGCAAAGCCTTCATCTTTGAGCGATCAGTAGCTCTCATTCGACAGCATGCTTCAGAATAGGAATCACGGACAATCTGTACACAGAATAAAAGATCATAAGATGGTGTATAATCCTAGTAAAGCCCATCTTTTTAATGTAGAACCTTAAGAAGCCAGTAGAGTTTTCAATAACTTACTTGTAGATAGATAAGCCGCTGCTCCACTCGGTTATCAATCTTTTCATTGGGTGAAAAGACCTGAGAAAAGATTTAGAGAATATTATCAATATTTCTCAGTGAGTATTCTCACACAAAACATAACGCGGTTTCTCGTACCTCTTTTCTTAGACTTATTTTCCAGGGWGTAGTTCCAGGAGAAAGAAACGAATTGTTTTTCAAGTTAAGTCTTTCTGTCTTTTTATCTTCCTGGACGAAGACAGCCAGATTGGATGAGTGCCTGGTCTTGAGKGGAGGTTTGAATACCTGCTCTTCGTTTGTAACAGTCTGTTGAATAACTTCAGTCGATGAATTCCTGGAAACTGGTGACTTGGCCTCTAGAGCTGCCACGGCACTGGCCACTCCACTAGACTTGGACTGATTGTCTGCCTGTGGTACAGGTGGTGGAGGCGACAGAGGGGGAGGGGGGTAAGGTATTGAAGGTTCCTCTACAGGTGGTGGTGGTGGTGCAGGAGGAGCTGGCGGTGCAGTAAAAGGAGGGGGTGGTATGATAATGTTCTGTGTTGAGTTGTTATTGTCTTGATCGGAGAACTCTGGTGGTGGTGGAGGTGGCTCAATTGACTTTACTCTYTCRAGTACASTAGTACGTCTTGTCATTATAGGTTCTGAACCATGACCATTAACTATTGGCCCATTGCTAACATGGGAAGCCCCCTGGGGTGTTTCACCTGGAAGCCCGTTAGGGATTCCATTGGGTGTACCAGCTTTAGCAGCCTCAAGTTGTTCTTGTAGTACTTTCATTTGTTGTTCGTGTTGTTGTTGTAGTAAGGCGAGATGGTCGGTYGACTTCTTAGARAGTTGTCGTTGCTGTTCCTGGATGAGTTTCTGTTGAGTCATGAGGTGCTCTATCAACATTTGCTGCTGTGCTGCAATGGTTCCCAAGTCCTGCGGGGGACTGGGYTACCCACTTACTCCCATTATAGCCGGACTGGCCATATTTMGTGTTCCACCAGRGTACCCATTGAACCCTACATTTCCCCCCACCGTGTACCCAGGGTAGCCATTATACATGCTGGATACAGGGGTACGAGCCATAGGAACAAACATCCCACCATTCATAGGTGAAGACATGGAAACTGTTGTAGGTGATGCRCCTGCTACAGTAGTTGWGGTCTGAGCACTTCCATTAGGTTGGTTCATACCACCACCACCTCTAATTGCATTAGATACCGATCGTTCATCAGCCAGATCGTTAAAATTACTCGATAACACCGGATCGAAAAGACTGTCTACAAACGCGCTGACATCTTGTTTGTTTGCAAGACTATTATTGGATGAATTACTGGATAACGAGTTATTTTTATTCACATTGATAGTTGTTGCAAAGTCCTCATCGCTCTGACTTGATGTACTTGGTAGAGACGATTGCGTTTCATTGTTATTGTCAACCGTAACACTTTCGTTRTGATTCTCATCCCCATCTTTACGGAAWAGAATGGACTCCAAGTTTTCATTTTCTTGCCAGAGACGACTTGCCCGGTTCGCCTTGGCCTGCATGGCTAGTTTGAGCTCGTTTTCTGGTTCCTCTTTCTTTGGTGTGGAGTTTCTTTGCACCTTTTTTAGGTTTCCTATTCTCATTTCAACAGGATCCACTTCGGTGCCATTATTTTCCTTATTATCTATGGAGATAGCTCTTGAACGGCGAGCCTCACTCATTCTCTTAGCTTGAGCCATCACTTCAGCCATTGAAAGCTGTGGACCACTTGGCTCTGGTTTCTTTTTCTTCTTATTACCTTCTTTTGACGTTAAACGCCGTCTTATCTTATTGTCTGTTGGTGGAGCAATAGGAGGCGGTGGGGGTGGAGGTGGTGGAACTGGTCCTATACCTGGGGGTGGGGGTGGGGGAGGAACTGGTGTAGCTTGACCATCAACAACTGTTGTAGTATCGGTCTTTGTGCGCATGGCAGTCTGAGCGACTAATTTATCTTCATAAGGTGCCGGTGTGGGTTGTTGTGTTGATAATAGACGAGCTGATGTTGCTGCGCTCAAACCGTCTTCTTTTGGTCCACTTGACCTATCACTTGGTGAGCTTGGAGCCTTGGATCCCTCAGAAAATGAAAACTTGTGCGCAATCTCTGCTACTTTGGCTTTCTTGTGGTGTGCTCGATGAAGTCTGAAACATACAAAAAAGATTAAATTATTGGAGTTGGGTTTTGGGCGTGTCCAGAGTTGTTAGTTAATAAAGTTCCACCAACAGCCTCACAACACGCCCATAGCGAATAATGTAGGAAGAAATCCGGGAAAAGTTCGTAATGACTAAGGTAATCACTAAAATAACGCGATAAGATGGAAAATATAATGTAGTTACTCACTCTGATAAACTTCTTTTCCTGAATTCCGGCAATTTGTTTCCAGGCCTCAACGTCACTAACGAGGGCGAGCTTCCTGGGGGGAAATGCGGCGGGTACTCTTGCTCGTAAATCACGTCCATAACGTAATCATGTCCYGACAGAGAATAATGACAATCGGGGTCATAGACATCTATGGACCAGCCACGTGGCTCAGACACCCCCCTGAATTCAAATTAAAGATGATGATTACAAGAATGAATTCGAATACCGGCCATAGTGTTGAACAACCAAACAGCTGGGGGGACAGCACATTCACTGTCATACTCACCTGTCTTTCAATATCGTTGTTGCAAGTTCTTCTCCCGTCATACACGAATTGACTTCGGCCATTTTTTTGTCGCCTGAAACACAGCAAAATACAAAGGGAAAATGAAYATATAKACGCTAATTTTATCGCATTACGCTTTTATCGATTTTACGTAACGTCAAATAATGTACGGACGTATGTACGTGGGAAACATACGATAAAAGTTTTGATTCATAAATCAAAAGTTTTTAATCGTTATGCAATACGCAATACGCACGTACGTATATTTTCAGCATTCGTACGTAATTGTGACGCACAAGCCACGTTATTTACGCTACAACTCTGGCTTACCGTCGACACTTTCGCATCTCAAAGAAACGGAGCACTTCCTCTTGGCGGCTTGCCATTCTAAGTATGAAGGTGGAAGGGATCTTGGGATAGGCCTTTTTCTCGCCTTCCAACACAGCAGCTTTTGTTGACAATAAGCCTTGAATCCATTGTACGCATGATCCGATGAATACCTGGGATAACAATTACAGGTTAGATGAACTATATATGACGTATAAACAACTGCAATACTAGAAAACACCATCAACAATATTATGACAACAACAACATTGACATTTACAACAGTAACATGMACAACAGTAACATGGACAACACATTGCAACGCTAGAAAACACCATCAACAATATAATGACAATAACAACATTAACATTTACAARAGTAACATGGACAACAACGAACATAAACGCAACACAGTCAACGACATAAGATCGCATGATTCAAAGCGTAATCTTACTTCAGTAATGCGTTGAACAAATTATCAGAAGGCTTGTAACAAGCCAAACACATTGCAATGAGCAGCCACGCCTTTTCACAATACGAGTTGACCTGGTTCCCCCAGGTTTGGTTACATAGCTGAGCGAAAATTTCATCTTGCAGTTCAGGGTTGAATATCCCCTGTAAAGAGAAACGTAGCAAWGTTATTATTTACGTACGTACGTATCASCGCGCCCTAACGTAACCGCATGCGACAACGGGCAATTTTGCYAGAGTAGGACAGCTAATGTCCTCTATCGTAACTGTTTTAGTTTCGAAAGCTTGATTAAGTAGTTTTGGTACCAGGGTGAAGCTGTATCGTAAATACTTTGGTATCGGTCCTTAATGAGAATCACTTTTTTAGCAGTGAAACGCTCATGCCCTATGTAAATAAGCACAGCGGTAGAAGATATTTGAACTAAAAAGACTGTCAACTCACCTTCTGCACGATGTAGTTTCCAAGGATGAGTTCACGAACTCCAGATAATGTTTCGTCTTCCATAAAACGCATTATCTACAGAATGAACAACAATAATTAAGATTAAAAGAACAATGACCGCTGACTCACTACCTGTCTAGGTGACCTTGTGACTGTCTGACCTGACTGCTTGARATGACTCGATGAGTGTCTTCTTTATAACGATGMTTTTTCTATGTTGTGTTAGCTTACCAGTTTAAAGACAGTCACAGCTTCCATTGAATCTGAATATTTGAGTTTCAGCATACTCGTGTGGATRGGAGCTCTGACAAAACGGAGCTTGTTTTCCTAGAAGATAAAACAATATGGTCAAAAATATCAATAAAAAATTCCTAAAAAATCTTATAACAATAACAACAGCAGCAGCAACAACAAAACAGAAGTAAACGACTTGTTTTCGCAGCGTTTGCACTCCGTCCTAAACGCCAGGTTAACGTATCAGTGTTGTCAAAAACTAGACGTGAATTAACGATGTTGTTTTCGCAGCGTTTACACACTGTTCCCCGTCCTAAACGCCAGGTTAACGTATCAGTTTGGTCCATAACTAAACGTGAATTAACGATGTTGTTTTCGCAGCGTTTACACACTGTTCTCCGTAATAAACGCTAGGTTAACGTATCAGTTTGGTCAATTGACGTTGATTTACTTCTGCTTGCACGCGTTACACAATCAACCCATACAAAACAATGGATCACACGACGTACCTGGAAGTGTTTTTGTGCATATTTAGAAAACCACTGGTCGTCAATGTCTGACGGGAGATCAGCCTTGGGACATARAAACTTGACGACTTCGTTGTTGACAGGAGCAACTGTTTTCTCGTAAGGTACTTGCCAATCTATTATTCAATATTTAACCATTTTCAAGCAAGTTTACCATAATCTTTTGTTATATTAATTATCAACAAGAAGGAAATTAAAGGGGATGACCACCTGGGATAAACGCTTATACAAACGTACAATAATATTGACTTAAATCACTCTTTTTCTTACCATTTAACCGTGCATACACCATAGCAAGGTCTGCTGGGATTTCTAATTGAGTTACATCGACCATGGCTTGTTTTTCCAGATCCTTAAATACACCATACCAACATTTAGTCCAGGAAGTAYATAACAGGAATAGAAGACATGMGTTAKGAGCAAAACACTCCCCCTKCCCTACTCCCCTCACCTTCGACTCCATGMTAACTTTCGGTGGTTCTGCACTAACCGCGGACTGTGTGATCTGTTTACTTTCATCTTGCGACTCCGACTGTAAGTYAAAATAGCAAATAAGGAAGAAATATTGATGATGTCATTAGACCCTGTGACGTCATTATACTTAGTGATGTGACTGTGACGTAGTATTAATGGCCGAGTTAAGTGCTGATCAAAATGTCGGCAATGATGCCCCAAGGTATTCGCACACGCTTAAAGGCAATCAACTTGAAAACGTCTTGAAATACAACTTATATCCGTAAAAGAGAATTAAGTACAGTTGTGCCGTTAAAGTAGCTAAGAATTTAACACAGGAGTAGAGTTGCTGTGACGATAATTGTCGATTGTCAGCCCACTCGCTGTTCATCGCACATTCCATTCATAATAGTCAGGCGTCTACGATATGACCTGGAAAACACTAGATAGTACAAGACGAAATCATACAAAACTAATAATTTGAAATATTAAAAGATAAAGTTCTTATAAAATGCTTTTTTCCTATAACTAATTGTTTACTTTGGAGTTATCAATTGGATTTTATCAATAACATAACGAAATACACGCATGATTTACATTGTKTTTAACACAAATATGTGAAATGTCAATATGCATATGTGAAATGCTCTCGATAAAAGAGCGACTAGCTAAAGTCACTTTTAACAGAGTAGAAAAAACTGAATTATTTACAACTGATAGCAACGACTTGGATAACAAACAACTGCGGATGAATTTTCACTACGTGAAAGATTACAAAGCTGTATATTAATTCTGGATTACAGCAAAAATATTATGATATGTTAGAATCAATAACTTGTAAAGAGGGAATTGCAAAGCAAGAGGATGAAAGCAAACTAATCTAACGCACGGAAATACGGCATTTTCTAGATAATCCATACTCTTTAGAAACTGCTCGACGTGGTTGAATGAACTAGCGACCGACGGAAAATAAACTTACTGAATGTACTTTAAAAACACCATACAAGAAACAACGAACAATTCTAAAACATGTAAAAAGGAAGACTTAACGAAAACAATAACATAATCTGAAAATGTTTGWGATTTTCAATCTGACAGCACTAAATCTAGTGGTGTGGATTAAGTTGGTACAAAGACAGTCATTTATAAGAACTAATAAAATCCAATTTGTCGGTTATAACAATTCAAATCAAAAAAAGTTTTCATACTGGACGACAGATAATAATATTCGCGACTCCTATTGAGAAGAACAGCATAGAATATTAGCAAAATGTTTATGAAGTTTGATGGATGACATTTTTCGACAGATGACAAAATTTTTGCTACATACATGAATGCTCTAGTCATTTCAGGAATCCATGGCAAAAATAACTCCATTAAAAAGGAAAATATACCGAGAAATAGATGCAGGAATACCAATTTCACGAATTAAACCCACGACAAGCATATCCTACCTGTTTTATGAGTCTTATTACCATTTATATTATTCKCTCAGAAGATACAAAAATTCCTGTCAATTCTATTGACAATATTCAGGCTTTCAACTCTTTTSAGGRGAGTTTTCAAGSGCTAGTYCTCTGTCAGATTGCAGAAAAACATAACAAAATGAGCACCAGGAGCCTACCGGGAAGTTACTTTCGAATTACCAAAATATTAATATTATTCGCAACCTACTTTAGATGCTGTGTTGTTTCCCGCTGAGCGACTCTCCATCCAACATACGTTGTACCAATGAATTCTACTTTAAGCTTCAATACTTGAGGATATCAGTCTACTAAGCTTTTTTTGTTTACAACGAATAATTACGAAGTGAAATCAACAATTAAAATCTGACACTATAGCGTAGGCTGGTCATTTTATGATAATGCYATAAATCTAGTATTGATCGTGTGCTACGTATTGTGTCATATGCAAAACACCCGGGAGTAATGATTCCAGTAATGCACGCACACTCTACACACAAGCAAGAATAATAAGACTAAATTACTGCATAATTAGATTTTCAAAGACTCGTGCTGATATGGTTTACAACTAAGTGAGCATATTTAGTTGAYTATATTTTCGGATTAATTAATCTCACTTATGAATATTTCAGACAGGTTTATCTTATATTATATTTACTTATATTATGTAGCCATTACGCCGTGACGCAAAACTGTACCCCTAGGGAAAAAATTGACACAAAAAATCTGGAGTGTTGACTACTGCTATAATATTCTTGGTAATTCACGACAACAAATATTTACGATGTTAAAGCTGTAATGTCAATTGCATTATATTAATATCATATTTACCTATTAAAAATAATTATATGATAGGAAAAAAAAAACACCCCAGTATTCTCAGTTTTTTAATGTTAGATTGAGTGTAAGTATTTTGAAGTATTTACTTAAGTACGATGTTACTGACTGTCCATAATCGATTACTTTAGCAAAAAAAACTATGCCTGCTGAATCAATAGATTTTAGATCGATCCCCGGAAGATGGAAAATTGACAGCATTAAACGAGAAAAAAATAGCCTTTTTTAAAACTATTGTTTTCATTCAGTCTCCGATGAATTGAATGTTATCGTAAGCTTTATGCAAACARTGTCTAAGGATTACATCGACAACGACCTTAAACCATTTAATATTTGTAAAAGATTTAACTAATACAAAACGATAAACGCGAATTTTGACGAAGAAAAAGGCGCCAATTGCTCTAATCAGAATGAGAAATAAATATTGACATAGACATAATCGTGAAATACGAACTTATCATCAAGGTATTGACATGCCTATACAAATTCACATGAATTTACAACTGAAAAAATACTTCTCTAGGAAATAATACATGAAATACAAAAACAAAAAAAATTAAAAAATAACAAAATCGGACGACTGAAACAAAGAATACAATTTCGCATTGTTGAATGGAGGAAGTTATACTACAAAAACCGCATTCAAAAAACTGTAGCGATAATAACATTTCCACATGAGTATAATACTAGTAAATAGAATAAAATGAATCAAAGAAAACCTTAGTCCTGTAAAAGTACCATCTTCTGTGGGCATCAAGGTTTAAATCACGGCTCCATTTTAAACCCATCGATGCAACAACAAACTTTCACTATATCCAAAGAAACTTTACAACATTCCGAAAAACTCGACGAACATTTTCGACTTAAAAAGAAATAAGTTTGATTTGAATTTATCTTGAAACAAACAGTAATGATGCTATGTTAGGTGTCAACAAAAAGTGTTAAAAAACCAAATAATAGAATGAGAAATAGCTATTGTGGTTTTTGCTTTAGTTTGTATTCAAATTACTTGAGTTTAGATCTGRATTCGCGTTGAGAATGCTAAAATATTGTCAATATAACGTGCGATCTGATTGGCTGAATTCGTATACAAGTCGGTGTTCTCTGAGAGAAGCCAGACATCTTAGAATTTCGAAGAAAAATTGAAAAGTGGACAAACATTCAATTAAAAGCAAGAATAAATTTACGCGAAAGAATAAATGTATGACCTCGTATTTAGCAGACGGACGAATATTCTAATCAGGCTAAAGAAAACCCAAGGATGCGCGTGTTTTGTCGGTATGTGTGCTATACTAACCAACAGATGTTACTATATCAAAGAGATTAGTTTTCATCGTAATTGATCACGTACGATGGACTGGTGTTTTGACTTAGCGTTCCTGTTATGTAGAAAACTAACCAAACGAATTGAAGGCCTGATGATAGCTAATCCATCCAGCAATCAACTATTCAATTAATTTATTGATCAAATAATCAATTAATAAATTAATCAGTCAATCAACCAACCAATAAATAAATCAATCAATCAGTCAATCAACCAGTCAATCAATCAATCAATCAATCAATCAATAAATAAATCAATCAATCGACCAATCAATCAATCAATCAATAATCAATCAATCAATCAATCGACCAATCAATCAATCAATCAATCAATAATCAATCAATCAATCAATCAATCAATCAATCAATCAATCAATTAGCCAAACAAACAACGGTCATACTCATTAAATCAATCAATCCTACAATCAATACGGTAATTCATTTATTCAGCCAAAGAAATAAACATCTCCACTACAGTTTTAAAAAAAATAATGCAATAATGAAGTCCATCTAATGCTTTCCCACTCAGTGTTCATTTGAAAGAAAATCTTGAAACATTTTAAGTCAGAGCTAATTGGTACTGTCAATTACATATAAATGGTCATATATCATTGGTTCAAACAGAAACCATTCAAGTGTCATAAAATCGATTCAATCAAGCTAAAAACAAGGAATTTCCTAGAGACTAGTAACTGATATCGTTGACGACCTGTCTGGTGGGCAAATATTTATCACTATTACATTTTGTAGACGAAAAATAAACGCTTATCATTTTAGTATACTTTTCATTGAACTTATCTTCTTTTTTTTTGAATTCTGAGTGCTATCAATTTCTTACGCAAATATTGAAACGAAAGCTTCGATTTTCGTTAATAGTAAAAGGCATTTTAAATCTACAAACGTAACGTTTGCTAATGGCGGTATTTATTACAGAGATGTGAAAATCAAGAGCAGAACTATGTTTACCTAGCCATTATACTGTATCACGTTCGTTCCTTTAGTTTTAATAACACGAAAAATAGACGTTCAATCTACGATGTTAGTTTCATAAAGATGAGTACAATGAACGGCAGATTAGAGCAGACGCGCGGAAGGAAGGACTAATCGGAAAAAATATCTATTCCGATTAGAGTTGTCGGGGTCTTTGTCTAGATTGAATCGGTTTTCATAATGTTGTATTATTGAAGAGTCCACGTTTAGATGCCGGAAGAAAAAATACAACGGGTGGGGCCTTAACTCTTGCAGTAAAAACGTACGTAGCTAGTTTTCCGTTTAGTAGTTCGTAAACACAAATCCATGAGTATCGATTTTATTCAATATATGCTRCTTTCACGTTTTATTCAAGAGGTTCAAGGACGATTTTTTGAAAGTTTAAAATGCTAAAAAAATGAGGCCTTTTTAATATTATCTTTAAACGGACCCGTGTAAATGAGCAGTTTATTAAAGTTAACTTTTAAAAGTGTTTAGGTGATGTTGTTGTTTACCTTCTAAGTTTTTATCAAAACAAATTTAAGGTTGCTTATTTRATTCATGGACATATCCATCAAAGTTCCGCTCTCAAKGAGATACTTTCGCATCTACTATATTGTACTTTATTCCGTTTACCCACAGATTTACTGGTTATTGTGAACATGCTGTGCAAAGSCATACAAAAACCTRATWGTTCACTCACAAGGACGCCATCTTGGTWATGAAGAGATTGGTTGTTGGACCAAATTTGAACGAAGTACTGATTAAACCAGTAAATAGATTAGTTAATAATATTTARATTAAAATAGTAAGGGTTAAGAGTTTAGTATGCAAAGCACGAATGTAGACTGAGAAAACGTTAAATCGCAGTATAAAAAAATCTACTTGAAAATTAATGAATGGATGAATGTGATGAATGAATGAATATATGAAAAAACTAGCCTCTATTGCAGCCTTTCGTTTGTYTCGTCACACAATGAAATGACAGTTTCTCACCTGTAGCTGAAGTGTCAACAAGCGTCTTTTTCTCCTCATCCTGTACATTGCTTGCAYCATCAGGAAACCACTCCGCGCTTTTTGGTACTTTTTCCTAAAAAAATAGAATGTCATCCAGAATCTCTTTTTTTTTTTCCTTTTTGACAATGTTGAATATGTTGTTGTATGAATACCTGGCTAGGTACCGACGGGCATTGCTTTGTAGAATAATCGTTGCCTTCTTCATCTGTAGATATTGATGGTTTATCAGGTAACCTCGAACCTTGAATAGATGATTCAAAATTAATCAATAGACCTCTAGAATGTGACGTCAAAAACGGTTCAACTGTGGTACAAAGTCGTTTTTGCCCCATCCCCCACCCCACCCCCAGATGGAACTTAATGTAAATGAACTACAAGGAGTTTTTTTAATAATACAAACACAAATAAATTATGGACAAATCACTCCGATCTACGTAGAGACAACATGMCGGGATATGACAGTACTCCTTACCCTCGACTGAATGACAACCGCCATTCTTAGTTGCTTGGCTCGTCTTGATTCTTCTAGTTGAAATTCGACATTTTCTCGTAGAAACAGCTGAAACATAAATATATCACCTTCTTTTATGATCTTATACATAAACAATGAAAGCTGTGAAGGGTTATAAAAAAACGAAACAGGAAAAAAAGYAAAGAGGAAAAGAGAACAAGAGGAAAAAGAAAAAGAGTGGAAAAAAAGAAAAATGCAAAAGAAAAACGAYAGAAAACAGAAATCCAACGCACAATGGGATGTTTATTGTTTGCTAATAAAAACAATACTCCAYTTTCGAGATCTTATTTGTGCAGCCTTAACCTCGAAAACATGTAATATATTCCTTTGTTCAGCTTTACTCAGATKCTATTGAAATGCAKAKKTTCTGTGTATAAAGAAGACAATAAAAATTTATGGTTGATTGAATCTAAGCTMGCACAAGAAAAATTCGAAACTGGAGTATTGATATCGATGATAACTTGAGGTCCATGTGTAACTTTACCTTTGTACGACCAAGCTGGTAGTCGTCTTTTGGGATTTCCATAAAGTCCATGATAATCACACAGTTTTGCTGTGATGTACTGCCATTTAGAATTATTCGATTGGACAAACATTTGTACCTACGGAGGGAAGGGTGGGGATAAGATTGTCAACAAAAGAATCATTCGATTGGATGACACATACACCTGCGGGGGGGTGTTTAGGTACAATATTGTCAAAAACAATTGATATTGGATAATATGCAAAATACAGTATACCTAGTAACGAAGTCTTGATAGCCGATACGCACAGGGTACCCAGTCTTGCGAATTTTTACCGTTTCAAGTACACCAGAGTATCTCAACTGCTGAATGACCAAATTCTGTACAAACGCACCTGGTGCCTYAATACAAATAACAATGACAACATCGATACAAGCAGCAAAACATGCCAAAAGATTTAATAGTACATTCATTTTTTGTTGTTGTAGTTGTTGTTGTTGATGTTGTAGTTATTGTTGTTGTTATTGATATTTTTACTGTTGTTGTTGTTATTGTTGCTGTTATTCTTGTTGATGTTGTTGCTGTTGTTGCTGTTATTGTTGTTGTTGTTGTAAACCCACCTTATTAGGGTTTGGTTTGATACATCTAATGAAGAACGGATTGCATCTAGTAGAAAATAATCCAATCTCAGTATATAGCATTACCATAAGCACAAACATAAGCATGTTTTCCTTGTTCTTGTGCTTATTTGTGTGTCAGGGACTGTTAATGTGTGCTAGGTGCACCTAAGCAGCTGTAGAGGTAAGTAGCAACTCCTAACTCTTTTTCTTTCACTTAGAAGTCCCTTATCTCAAGTAATCAGTCACAAGATTTTGCTATATCGATGTCCTTAAATACTCTGGAACAACTAGTAAACTGATGATGATGATGATGATGATGATACTATCTACCAATACCAACCTCTTCATGGCTACTACCAGTCTTATCAATGAATCATTGAACTTTGCGCACACTGTATTCTTGGGTACACTGTTGGGCGGGGCCTTCAGGGAGTTAACTCTACTGTTTTTACGAATGCCTTTGAGACCGCCAATTTGCATTGTAGGATCTCCCAGTAAATCAGGAATAAGATCTCTGACAAACTACAGAAAAACACTAGAATTAGTATTTACAAGAAACTAATGCAGTGCTGGTAATTATCATATGATTTTTGGCCATTCCAAATTGATAAAGTGTGATAACTAGAGTTCCAAAATACCAGAGAAATGAGNTGATTCATGTTATATTGCTGCTAAAACCAGGACCAATCATGGTACATGTTACATTGCTACTATAACTGACCAATCATGGTACATGTTACATTGCTACTATAACTGACCAATCACAGTTCATGTTATATTGCTGCTACATTGTAGAACTGCCCAATGATAAAAATCATACAATAATAAGTTTAAAACAGTTTATGAGTCTTACTGGTGAACGGCATTTGCACAGTAGGTCAGTCAAGTCTTGCTTTAGACTATCCCTGTTCTTGTCAAGAAAACCCCGAACCTACAAAACAAAACAAAAAATAAACAAAAACCAACACAATAATCCTTGAAACTTTGATAATTTCAGAACCTCACCTGGTAAGTGACTGGACCAGCAAAGTGATTGATACCAAATTCTGGAGCCTGCATTTTTGGTTTGAAATAGGCCTTGCTTGGCTTGTGGTACTGGTGACACTTTTCCAGGAATGAGCCATCTGTTGCCTGGTAATTCAAAGGGCACAAAAAAAAATAAGCAAAAATGTGTGTCTTGTAACAGAGAAATAATACTTTCACATGATATAATGGTACTTGTATGCATTATACGCAAATTCTCATGCACTCAAGCATAGTGTATCTGGTATAATTTACCTTTGGAAAGTTGCTCTCGTCTGTTAACAAGTGCAGTATACCATGAGGAGGTCGAGCCAGTAAATCCAGGCAGGCTTGGTTGTCTGTAAAAGACACCTCCCGCCACTGAATTCCCTCAAGGCCATACTCATCCTATGAACAGAATACAATTCAATGAGTGATAATGTACAGTATTTACAGTCTTGAGAGGCTGACTAGTTTACCTGTTCAAGCTTAAAGACAAACTGGTTGAAAAAGAACTGCAAACTTTCATTGGCATAATTGATACAAAGCTGCTCAAAGCTGTTAGTCTGAAAATCCTGCAAAAAAAGACATAACAATGGAGTTATTACCAACAGAAAAGTCTTCATTCAGTCAAGAAGTTTTTTTTGTTCTTCATGTACTTTGTTATAGCATTTGTCTTTACCTCAAAACCAAAAATGTCCAGTATAGCGATAGAGGGGCCTTGTTTGCCATGGAATACAATACCATTAATACGGTTAACCAGCCATGTAAACACTCGAGAATATAATTCCTTGGCGATTGCATCTCTATATTGAAAAAATTAAAGACATTTTTTGAATCTCAACTAGTTTCCACATAGAAAAATTTGTGTCACTCATAAACAGCTTACATTGGCAGATCAGGGGGGGATATGTAACATACCCCCCCCCCCTTTCTTGGTGATATGTGGTTTTAATTGGGTGTAAAAATGTTTGAATAAGAAATGTCAACCACCATCTACATTGTATGGCTGTGATAATGGGTCAAGCAAAGATCTTTAAATATTGACATGTTAATATCACCATTTAGACTATTATCAAAATGCCTCTATCTGCTTCAAATAACCAAAGTTAAGCAATTAAGTGTACACAATTCAGTGTACAAACATAATGTCATTACCTTGCATCAATAGCTTGGTCTGTGTTTCTAGGGCTGGATATTTGCTCTCCTCTTGTCTCCTAAAACATGACAAAGTCAATATTATTGACACCATCTCATTACTTTATTCTGTCCTTTTCTTTTCTTTCATTTTCTAATCAGTAGTCTTTTATTCACTTTTTCAATTCATCCATTTTCTATCATTTTCTGCTTCACTTTCCTTTTCTCAACCCATCTAAGACTAATGACAACCTTACTGTCAAATATAGAGTGGATTTCATATGACTGTGCAAAAAACATGGTACACGCGCTGTGACCATACCGTGCTGTAGCGGTAATGTATTGTTAAATCTTTATTTTCATTTGAAATCCAAGAAAGCGAGGTTCTGTGACCGTGCCGTGTCTGTGTTGTTATTGGTGCCGTTGCACAGTCATACGAAATCCGCTCTAATTATCAAATGCAGATACTAACTGTATTTTTATGTGTCAGTGCTTGAATGACTTCAGCACCACTTAAACCCAGTAAGTTTGCTGCTATCTTGGCTTCATCTTCGTCCTTCAATACAGCAACATCATGACTGGATGCCTACAAGGTGGATACAAATGCAGTCTTATATTGATAATATGAAGGAATTATAATACTAAAAGAGATAAACACCCACCAGTCCTTTGTAAAACTGTGCATTACCAAGGTGAAGTATGGCAGCAAGCGTTGTGAAAATCCCATCTCTCTCAGATGGCTAAAATAATAACAAGACCAAATAAAAAAACTACTTCCTTCTGTAACACAAATGCATTATAACTTATTATAAGTATATATATAGACAAATGTAGTTTGATAATATTGATGTCGGATAAGCACAGAAATAAAACCTACTTAACAAAATAAAAATCTTTCTTTGAAATGGTTATTCAACATCGATTTTTGCTAAAGTAGTTTGTCCAGAATAACAATACCTGGAACTTTTGATTTTACTTACAGTGATTCTAAGGACATCCATTGCAGTGAGTACATTGTTGAAAAGAGCTTTGTCATCTTTATTCTGCATAAAACTGCTGCCACCCTATCATAACAGAAAATCATCAGTGGTTAAAATGGTCCAGTCTTAGATCTACACCATCTCCTACTGCAATATTTTACCTGGTTTAGGTATGCATAGTCATCTGCACTTTTCAAAGACAGTTTGGACTTAGTTTCTTGTGGTAGTCCAGCAAGCATTTCATAGAAGATATGATAATTTCTCTCATCAACAGACTGCGAATAAATGAAAATTATGAATCTACAATCAATGCGCAAATAAGTTAAAAATACAAAAACATACAAAAAACAAAAACATCTACTAGACAATTTGACAGAGCAAAGAATTTAACATAAGTCATTTAACATACCTGGCTGACAATCCTGGACCGTTCAAGCAGGTACTCAGAAATGCGGCCTCCACAAATCAAACCAGCACTGAAACAGTAATAATAAAATGATTGTAATCATAAAACTGTGTTAACGTTTTCTATCAAACCTTGTAATGTCAACATAGAATATGGCTCTAGATACATGTAGCTACTTACTTGCTAAAGTAAATTTCCAGGTATTTTCCAAATCGACTGGAATTGTCATTTTTCACTGTCTTAGCATTTCCAAATGATTCCAGTAAAGGAGTGGCCTCGACAATCTGGGTAACAAATGAATACAATATAGGAACCATTTGACAATGTGTAGCAATACAAAATAATTTAAAATACATGCATGTTTATAAACTATGTACCTGTTCTGTGATGAGGCTGCCTTTACTCTTGTTAGCAGTAGCCAGGTACTGTACCAGTAGTTTAGTAGACTCTGTTTTCCCTGCTCCACTCTCGCCACTGATCACTATGACCTGGTTGATCTCATTTCTTTGAATCTCTGAATACGCTGCACTACCAATAGCAAAGATGTGCCTACAAAATAGAACATGGTAATGTACAGTAATTGTTGATCAACTAGATAGTTGTAGGTTGGTCTATTCATAATGATTTAAATGTTACTTCAACCTTCATGTAAATGTTATTTACTTAGTCAAGCTTTCGGCTCACCGAGCCATTATCAAGACTGATGAAAAAATGTTACAGTTTACAATGTAATCATTGATCAACTAGGCTTTGATTATGAAATATTGAGTTTACTCACGGGGGTAGGTTACCAATGGTACTAGTTGTATACTTGTCAACATTGTCATTGGTGAAGATATCGTACAGTTTGTATGGATTGACAGCTACAAGGATTTTTCCAATGTAGGTCTGTAGAGAAGAAAACCAAATAAATGGGTTTTGAAACTAAAGAGTCTGTTTTTTTTGAATTTTAAGAGAGAAGCACCTTTCCAAACTTACATATATCAGGTTAGCTTCATAACGTTTGGCCAGGTTAAACAGTATGGAGCCTTCATTAAGATCACTTTATAAAAAAAAACAAACAGGCATCAATAAAAACAAATTAAAATTTTATTTTTAATCTAAGCCATAGGCAAAAAATACTTTCAATTTATTATGGATCCTAGCTTCAATTTTCACATTTTATGAATAAAAACATAGAAACCTTTTTTAATCTTTAATGTTCAAATTACCTGTACAGTTAAATTTGTAAAAGTAAAAATGTGGAGCATGGTTAAAAAAAGATATCCATAAATTATATTGATCATATCTTAATAAATACAATGAATCTCATTATTGCACATAGTTCATAAATTCAAGCAAAGACAATTTAATGGATCAGTCTGTAAGTGTCATATTATGAATTAATAATAATTATTATTGTAACTTACTCCATCTTTATCATATCGTCTGCACCATGTTTGCCATAATCAACTCTCTGTGTGGCCAGTTTGACAGACAATGATGAGATCTTTTAATTACAAAACAACTTTCATAAATATAAAATAAATAAATAATATACTGATTGCCTCAAGAGAACACTCTTTGAATGAATAACTATTAGCCATTTTATGACAAATGCTGCTAGCATATCAACGACATTGTTTTTACAAATATTAAGTGAACCCTTAGCTGTATTTGACATCATGTAATTAATGTATGAGTTATAAAATGATTAATTTTAATTTAAACATGAGATTCCAGATAAGTTCAATTCACAAGTTTTCATTCTTTGGACTTTGGCTTTGGATTGATGCTGGCAYGTGAAACAAATGTCAAAAGATTACATTATATAAYCACATTATACCTTCCCAGTCTCCTCGTTCTGTACTTTGAGAGATGAACCTGACACACCAATAACCACCCCTGGTACAAGATAACCTTGCTCTCCATCAATCCAAACATACGATCCCTAACAAAACAAGAAAAATATTAAGTTCAATTTACCATCTTCAGACAGATTTCATTCATTTATTCATCCATTTTTTAGTTTATTTCTCAAGTGATTTCAAGCTCCTGTCTCTTCTATAATATGCAATAAAGACAAATGGTTACATTAGTGAATACTATACATAATATCGAAGACAAGATAAGTCTATCTGACTTATATGTTGACTACATATATCTTTAAAATACCATGCAAACTAAATAACAGCTATGATATACTGTTCAATAATATAAGCTGTAGATAAATTTCATTCAGGAAAAGATTATTATACATAATGAAGTACTAAAATTAATAAAACTAATAATTAAATTATTGGTCTATGCACAGATGTAAGATCATTTTATTATAACTAGTCTACATGTAGACTTGCCATTTCCTCATGGTGCAGTATTACTTTTTGTTGCATGAGGCAAGCAAGATTTGTACAAAATGTTTATTTTGTTATAAAACAAAAAGAAAGTTCTATATCTAACTTCCTAAAACTGCCATTTTATCACAAAATATACAAAAACCAGCATTAGAAACCTTCCCAGTCCTATTACAGGAAAAAAAGTAAATTATTTACCACTGTTTGTACTCACACCTTTGTGAAAATGATCTCAAAATGTCCTCTTTTAAAAAACTTCATTCCTTATTTTCTTGTATTTAATTGTGCATGGTGAACATCATTCCAGTATGACAACATTTATCCTTTAACACATGAACATTCATGATATTTCCTGGTTGTATAATATTCAAAGATGTATGTATATTATCCTTAGATGGATATCAGAGTATTCCATGTAATATGCATATGTGCAAATATCAAATTTCATGGTTCGATTCTCATGATTGTTATAATGACCTCTACATGAGGAAATTAACCATTAGAATAAACAATATTCACTGTTTTAGGATGAATTAATTGTAAATAAATAAAATATAGTAGTATACAACTTTACAATTATCTTTATTTTGATCAACAAGTTCATTAATTCAGCATTTAAGCTGCTAGATCCATAACCAACCATATTACACAATTGTTGTATATTTTGAAGGTCCATTTAGATCAAGACCAAGATATCTTACATAGTCAATCACATATCAGTCATGTAGAACAGCAATTTTTCAGTGATTTTGACATTTTAAGTGTTTGTATAAGTTCATACATAATAAAACAGAAAAGTTAATCATAAATATGACACTTAAAACAATATCAGCTTTACCAAGAAATAAACTTGAAACGTTCAAAACTGCAATACCCTCAGGTAAATTATAGAAAGAATACATTAAACAATTATTAATTAACTTTTAATGATTATAACTATAATAACATTTGTATAGCACGTTCTTTCATGCATTCATTAATATTCATCCATGCATGCTTCTCTTTTCTCATTTATTTATTTATTTATATCTATTTATTTATTACCTCATAATACTGCGTAACCTACTGAAAAAGGTACAAATCCAAAACTTACCAGAATGTTCAACACAGTCAGTCAAAAAGCTTTAACAGTTCGAACATTCATAAAAGCCGACATAACACTTTTTAATTTTTTTTATATTGAATTTTTACTTAATATTAGTAACAACTCTTTATCAAAATGTCCACTAAATTTAAGGTTTTATTTTACAATAAAAACATCTACAGTATGTATAATATCTCTTATTATCTTGAAAGTGTTATAGATATAGTTGTATGAATTTGAACTTTTAAAATCTTGTGTCATGATGTCATCATTCCAGTGATTTTTTTAACTGTAAAGTCTATCACATGCATGGACATGTTGCATTAGTCAAACTTTTTTTTATATCCATAAGGAAGTTAAGTATTTACCATCTAGACACTTGACTAAATATGAATATACCAAGCTTAAAAATCAGTATCTCTGTGAAATGTCTAGATCTTATTGATAGAAAAAGAGATAATTAGCTTAAAAGCGAGAGTTCATGCTTGATAAAGTTAAATTCAATATCTACATTCCTTTCAATTTTTTACCTTGCTTCCATTATATCAAACACAATACCTTCATGTACCTAAAACAATTGTTTAATATGGATGATTTAACACACAGATCAACGCCACAAGTTTCTTTTACTTCAACCATCTTGTAAAGGTCATAGACTATGTGAGAATTTATCCACTATCTAAATTATTGATTATTTTGAATGAATAGTTGTAATTCAAAACTTTACTTTTGTAAACTTTTAGTATCTCTTATACAAGTTCCACAGACGTCCCAATATCACTAGGCATATTTTCTTGATATTACTCCATTTTGAAGTCTCTTTTAGCTCAAGTTTAAATACATGTAGACGTCATAAATGATAGATATATGTATGCTACATGTTGAGCCCTAAAGTAGCTTAGACTACCTGTTATATAATATATATCCCATATGTTTTTCTTTTTCATATAGCATAATTTGAAGGAATAGGTACAACATACAATTTTCCATGGCTCAGTACTTGTACAAGTATCAATAAACATTTCAATCAAACTGTGAATAATCAGATCATGTATGTAAGTTGTAATAACTTTGCCAGAAAAAAGAGTCGATTCATATAAAACTTGGAAGGAGTCCTGCAGATTCAGCCAATTTGGAAATTTTATTGATTTTTATTGACTAGAATAATTTTTCCGAAATAAAATCAGACACTTTGATCTTCATCTGCAAATAATAATAAAATAAGCAGTGTATACGATGTTGAAAAAGATTTGAATTAAAAAAAATTAATTCCCATAAGTATATGTATGTAAACAAGTTCTATTTTTTGAACTTGCATATAGAAGTGTCACTCAAAAGACGACATTATCGGTGGAAATGTTCTTTCATTAAATAAATGTGGAATGTAGAAAATTTACACTTATAGACATCTGTACAAAAACTTGATAAATCTCTTGACAAGTATAAGGAAGCAAACTTTGATGTCTTTGATGTATGTTTACTTTTTCTCGGCCATTTACGAACGAAAACTTCGAGCGCATTAAAGTTGAAACAAGATATCCCAGTCGTGCGAGCAGCAGAAGATGCTCGAGAAAGTACCATTTTTCGATGGGTTTTGGCAATTCTTCCCTAGCATAAATAAACGGCATAGTCCCATTTACGAAATCACGTACTTTGTGTAAAATACAAAATACTTGTATCATATAATCCATCACTCATTTCTAGTAATACAAGAGAAGCCACAGACGCCAATTAATGGAGAAATGCTTGCTATAACCAATGTGTTGCAGTCTGTAACTGTGATATCATTCCTTCCAAATTATAAACATCATTACATGTTTAAGTTTAAGTGCATGGAATTTTCTCAAAGAAAATGTCCCGATTGTGTGAGACTTGAACTAAAAGGAGTCGTGCAAGAACAAGCTTATTTCGCAGTATTCGGGTTTATTTTCAATACTATGACGACCAGCCGAAATGCTTAAATGTGGAGATAGTTTTCTAACGCTAGATTGATACTAAATTGATATACAGAGGTATTATGGCTTATATGAGGAATAATTAATGAAAAAGTTACACAGTCTATTCACGATATACTTCCGTCAGAAAGAATCGCTCTGTACAACTTACCACGTCAAAAGAGTTCGGCATTTTCTCCAAATAGCTCGAGAAAATCCAGTATCTGCCGTTTGACCTTCTACATCAATGTATCCTTACGATGCAGGCATTTCAGGGTATTATGTTAGCCATTTTGGCCGATATTTTGAGGTATTTTTAACACGTTTCTCTTCAAGAATCAGTTGCTAATCCTCGCTTGTTGCTATAATATTCTAGCGCAAGTTTTGGGTACCCTGTGGTAACCAGCCATATATGCTAATTACATCAATAAACTCGCTCCGACTGAAATAAATTAATTTCAAGCATATGAATTCATAAATATTCGCTCAAATAACACTATTCTCGTGCAATATTGCGTTATTTTTCAGAACCAAACAAATCATTTGACGATAACACAGTAATTTCCTAAGTGTGTCCAGTCCTCCTCTTCCCAGTGTGCGTGCCATGGTCATAGATCATTTCTAAAAATAGAATCCCTGTCAATTTTTGTTTGCACTGTGTGGGAGCAAAAATATTCACGTTTAGTCGTGGATAAATTGATATTAAGCCCCCGTTCAAATTACTTTTTCAAATCTATCATGTACTGGATTCTACCATAATCATGTGAATTTACCGCCAAATCTAGATAATTAATCCCCGCCAGCACCTCTTTCTATATTTTAAAAAATGATTTAAAATGTATTTCAGTAAATGGATATATGATATATTTGATTTTTTGTATTATTGAGATGGACTGCGCGTAATAAAGTGATAGCTGGCGTTACAAAAAGGAGAACGGCCGCTTGGTYTGGTGTAAGTACCTTGATTCCTTCCGTTTCTTTCTTGCCGCTCATTAGAAAAACACTCACTTCTGTAAGCTCTTTTTCTTTCTTTCTTTTTTTTAACCCCTTGTGTTTGTTTCCTTTCAATTCAAACCATGAAAAGAATCGCGTGCGGCAGCATATAGAATCTGTGAAAGATCTAATATCCAAATTTCATTCCGAATGWTAGAAAAAAATATATGCGGTTTCGTCTAAAATGACTGTACTCCAAAAAGGGACGATTTTTAAATCCCCAGGTGCATTATGGTTATTATTCAAAATGGCGGTCGTTCCATTCGTTTCCTGGTTCACCTGCGATTCCTAATTTCAATCTCTTTATTGGCTTGCGTAAGCTATGAATCATCTAAATGGGAGCCCCATGGCAGTGGAAAGGCGATGCGTTACAGATATTTTGTTGCTGTATTTTCTTCATAATTATATCATGGGTTATCACAAAAATATTGAGTCTTCGTAATCGAAATGGATTGCGTATTTTTCCTCACAAAGGACACCATTGGGCATTTACTGAATTTCTTGTTAAACCTTCGTATTGTAATGTCTGCGAAAGTCATTTAGTTCGCGGAGCTCACTGCGAAAACTGCGAAGTTTCGGTACATGAAGAATGTATGGACGATGCAAACAAACGGTTTACTTGTAAAGCTTTAGTTCTTGGTCGAAGAGCTCACATACAGCATCACTGGATACGGGGAAATCTTCCCCTTTGTAGCTACTGCAGTATCTGTGGTTGCCCTTGTGGTGTAGAGCCACGGCTATGTGATCAAAAGTGCATTTGGTGTCACGAAGTRTGCCATGATAACTGTCTGCGGTCTAAATCATCGATATGTGATTTTGGTCGATATAGAACGCTTATACTACCCCCTCACTGCATTAGCCTTACTCTCGTAGGCTGGAGAAAAAATAAACAAAGGTTTGTCGTTCGTGAAGTGGCRCCGCCAAATATAAGAAACTGGAGTCCGCTGTTGGTTTTTGCTAACTGCAAAAGTGGAGACAATGAGGGTGAACGTTTGCTGAGAGCTTTCAGAGGAGTGTTGAATCCTGTTCAGGTCTGTTGTAGGTTTAGTTACGGGTTTCGTTGAAAATAAACTAGATTTTATAACTATTACAAGAAACAATGAACATATTCACAGCATGATAAAAAAATTATTTTCAATTATAATGAAATTTTAAAAACTTCCAAATGTATAGACCTCAACAAATCAAAAATCAAATCAGCCATGTATTTTTTTCTGTTATTAAGGTTGTAGATTTACATGAAGTGTCACCAGAGTCGGCACTAGAGTTCTGTAGACTTCTTCCAAATCATCGTTGTAGAATTCTTGTCTGTGGAGGGGATGGAAGTGTTGGTTGGGTACTTGCAGCTTTGGATAAGGTTAAACTTCAGGTTAGTAACAGCCGATAGTAGATTAACTTAATATTATCTAATAATCAATCAATCTTTTTTTTCTGTTTAAGAATTCACCTGAAATAGCTATTCTCCCCCTTGGTACTGGAAATGACCTTGCTCGTGTCCTCGGTTGGGGAAGTGGATAYGCTGGTGAAGAAGATGTCAACRACATCCTTAAAGCAATACTTAAAGCAAAAGTCACACCATTAGATAGGTAAGTACCTGGTCTTCTCTAGCACAATGAAATTAAACAATAACAAACCAGGGAATTCAATGAAATATTAATTTGTAATGTGAACTTTATGTACTTGTGAGAATGTAGAATAAAAAAAATCCCTAAAATATCCAAAAAGTACTGCTGACATTTAACCTGGATTCTTTCTTTAAGATGGGATATAACCATTGAATGTCGAAGTTACTTTGGAGTTCGAAAACCAAGAAAAGTAAGATATAAGGATTGTCATCATCATTTGACACAACTTCCACTTTATGTTAACCAATTCTTTTTTCCACTAGACATTCATAATGAATAACTACTTCTCAGTKGGTTGCGATGCTAAGGTAGTACTCAACTTCCACCGTCACAGAGAACGTCAGCCTGCACTCTTCACAAGTCGTATATTCAACAAGGTAAAACATCATTGATAGTTTCAACTTGTTGTTTTCTCAAGTTGTCTTTGATATTTCAGAATAATCAATTTAAAAAAATGCCTGACTCAATGGCAAGGAAAATGCAAATTACACATTCAAAGATTGAATTGAATTTAGGAAAGGCCATTGCTATATTACAGCACAGATACATCATAAAAGTGCCAAGATCATGTTGTGATATAGTTGTWATAACTTTGGCATAAAATGCTAAAACTCTAGTATTGATTGGAGCTCTGTAGAAAATTCTCAGTAATTTTGACAATACTTTTCAGGCCATGTATGGAATATATGGAGCTAGAGATGTCTTGGAACAGGAATGCAAAAATCTACATGAATTAGTTGAGGTAAAAATCCTTGCTCTACTTACTGTTGAAAATAGAGAACGAGTCAAATATGTATGAAGTGAAGATAACAGACTTACATTCTTATATTTTACTGACATTTTGAAATACAAGATACAAGAGGACAGAAGGAATTTTTCCAATCGTTTTTCCAATTAGTTATTTCTTTGTTCTAGCTTGAGCTGGATGGTAAAGTCATTGATCTGCCAGACTTGGAAGGCATTGTTGTGCTTAACATTGGTAGTTGGTGCGGCGGATGTGAAATATGGAAGGGTAGTCAGGGAAATATGAATGAAATAGACAACATGCCGCCATCCAGGTATTATACACTATTTGATATGGTATTTTGAATATATACTTATGATTACAGGGGCGACTTATGATTACAGGGGYGGACGTATGATTACAGGGGGGTGACAAATCACTAGCTAACATGTATTTACYATGTCAACAGTATGAGTGATGGTATACTTGAGGTTGTTGGTTTGTACTCGTCCCTGCATATTGCCAGGCTGCAGGTCAATCTGGCTGACCCTCATGTACTTGGACAGGCACATTTTATTAAGGTAAATATGACTGATAGGCAATTGTTTGGCTCTCCAGTGAGGTGTGAAAATTACGATAATTTATGGCATTTTATGCATTGTTCATTTAATGTTTTTTTTTTGGCTTTAACAGATAACACTAAAGAATACCAAGCATCTGCCAGTACAAGTTGATGGTGAACCCTGGGAACAAGCACCATGTGTCATCACCATATCACATCACAACCAGGCATTGATGCTGAGCAAACTGTCAGAATAGAAACTGGCTCTAGGAAATGAACTAGGGCAAGAGAAAAGGCAGTTAAGATATAAAGTAGTCTTCATTTGGGTGATTACTTGAAGAAAACAAAATYGTGATGAATGGTATAGAAGACAATTATTATGGCCAACATTATAAGAGTTGGAGTACTGTCCCTTGTGGCCTGCATATCAGGCTCTACTGTGACTCTTATAGCTCCTTGCTGGACCTCTTAGGGCTGATTTACACGGCACGATTTGTCGCGCGCGACTTGTAGTATACGATTTTCCTACTACAAGTCGTAGGATTTTAAGCCGTGGTTCAAAATCCTACTACAAGTTGTAGGTTGCGTACGACTGTTGTACACAAGTCGTAGGGGCATTTACACTGCGCGATTCAAGTCGTATACTACAAATCGCACGAGACAATCGTGCCGTGTAAATCAGCCTTTAGGATGCCTGAGAGTACCAGCTATATTTCTTCTCTTGTTGAGAGGTACTTCTATCAGGTCTCATCAAATTGCCTGTTTCAACTGTTGTAAAAAAAATAATAACATGAATCTGTGGACTGCGCACAACTAGGAAATACAAGAATTAGAATAGAAAGTTTTTTTGAAATTTTACTTACCTTGAAATGAAATAATCTTGAAATGTATTTGACAAATAATGATATTTAAGGGGGACATTTCCCTCATTGAACATAATTTTTAAGAGGATCCTAAAGCTTAAAACTATTCATACATCCTGTGCTTACATGCAAGTAATCAAGTCATGGTCAATCTTACTTAATTTTTATTCAATAAGAACAATTATATTGAATATAAATTTACCGGAAATCACCTGTCAGTGTAGGTAACCTTAGTAACCAAAAGATAATTGTGCAAAAATGAAATAAAACTACCAATTTATGCATATCAGTTGTATTAATGTGGTTCTTTTATTTACATATATTACATAAAGAATATTACATGGGTGCGAGGAGATATGGATTTTATCTTCAAATGTTGAATGATTTTCAATACCAGAAGGTAGACTTCATATCTCCAAGYGACCATGTAATATTCTGTTTATCATATACAGTCAACTCTCGCCTTATGGACACCCTGGTACAACGGACACCTCAATGYTGCGGACAGTAAAATACTGAATCCCCGGCAAAAAATACAAAGAAATGACTGAAAGTAACTCTCGTTACTGTGTCCGTAATAGCGAGAATTTACTGTAATCAAATATGAAAGCAAATAAAATATCTTTTTTTACTTCCAATGTATACTCTTTTTGATAGAGAGAAATATAGACATTTCATAGATAATTATATGATAGATATATTTAACATCAATGTAAAAACTGGTCGATGTTGGAGTTCGGGGACTCTAACTTGCATCGGTTGTACACTGAGTTTTCGTGCCTTTTCACGTGGTTTTATCCAGAAAATACCCTTATTAGACATTATAATGACTTCCATATCTCCATGGCAACCCAGAGTGGTCGAAACTAAACCCTTCCGTATTCCGGTATGTGTGTATATCATTTCTTCTTTTCAAGGCCAAAAGTTCCGAAAGGAGAGTCAACAACATTCATTTTACCAAAAATACGATAGCTTTCCTCCTACTGACGTCATTGCTCGAACAAACAGGAACCCAAATCGCCAGGGTAAGTGTTACGATACAYTGTGGTCTGATTATGGCGCACATAGTTAAAGGGACATGGTCCACTAACATCCTTTTAGAGCTTTTGCTTATGTTTGAAAATAAAAATTCATCTTAATATAAACAAGAACTTACTCTTTATTATCCCTTTATGCTCTATGAAAGGAGATATTGTAAGATTCGAACTCTAAACCGAAGGATGGAAATGGATTGCTCATTTTCCATATAGGAAAAATCTAAAACACGACCGCAATGAATGCTGGTGGACCATGGCCCTTTAAAGTGCATTTCTTTTACGGTAAGATATCAAAAAATACTACCTTCTCACACGGCAACAAACTTTTGAAAAAATCGCGCACTTTAAAGGTTGTAMATTTGATGTAAATATGATGTAAGTGTTCAAAATGATGTACATTTACATCATTTTGGTCAGCTATATCATATTTATATCGAATTTACAACCTTTAAAAGTGCGCGATTTTKTCCAGTGAAAATTGGACATTTACTGCGCAAAAAGCTGTCCCYAATACAACACTATGTACGCGATGAAGTTGTAACTTGTTCACTTTTAGTCGCTCCAACTCTTATGACAGCTCTTCTGCTAAAGATACTAAGAAACTCTCTTCTAAAAGGCCTGTTGAATATGTTAAAAATGATGGGATTGATTGCCGTGCTAAGCGAGGGAGTGTATATAAATATCATCTCRGCATAACGAGAGAGGTTGTGAAATACAGAAACGATGTTGACAATACTGCAGGGAAACCAGCAGATTACAAAGCCACACACAAGCGCCAGCACTGATCTAGTGATGCGGATTTCTTCTCTGGTCAAAGTTGGGCTGTTTGTGGAGGGKCCAGTGTTCAGCGACGATGCYACAGCATTCTGGTGCCCCTGTACAACTTTATAGATTTTCCAGTAACTGATTCCAGCAATAGACATGGGTGCGATGGCAAATAGAAAGAAAGCCACAAAGCTGTAGAYTACTTCAGTAGTGTKATCCTTGAAGGAGARAAGGTAAGCAAATCTACCAGGATAAAACTCAAAGCTCGCGATGCCAACAAGAAAGACTCCTCCAGCATTAAACACCGAAAATACCCACATCCCAATGATCATGAGCAGGGCGGGCTTTGGTTTGAAATATTTGCGGTAAGTCTCTGGTTTTACCACACAGAAGAATCTGTTGACTGCGATCAGCGTTGTCGTCTGTAACGATCCAGAAACAAAGGAATAACCAAGAAACCCTGAAGCTATTCCAACTCTAGGYCCGAGTACATCTTTGCTGAAGGCTGCTGCRAGTGTAACCATCGGCACTGTGATTAATGARTACARCACATCGGACAAACAGAGCGCGATGAGRTAGTAGTTGGTTACACTGCGAAAACTTGGTGACTTTAAGAACACGTACAAAACACACGAATTGCCAACCAAAGCGACTAAAGAAATGATGATTAAAGTCAATGTCTCTGCAACGACTTGGAAGGTTGATCGGTTAGCCAGTTCTAAGCTTAGTTTTCTTRTATGTTCTTGGTCGAGCATGGCGTAAATGGTCGTTGCAGGTGTTGCGAAGAAAGATGCTTTGGGCACCTGATGAAGAAACATGTAGAGTGTTTTTTAATTCCGAAGTGGGATTAGTAACTGTAATAGTATAATTTCAAATAAAACTAGTGTGTTAACATTGGATCACAAAATTCCGGCATATGTCAAGTTTGCTGGTTCTACATTGTAGCTTAAATATCGTACATATTCAGTACAAGCCGGTCGTGCCTCCTAATCACTCAGTGGTTTATATATGATTTAAAAGACTTACAATAAAGTTTCGTAAACCTGCTTTTCTTTGTGGCTAGAAGTACTACGCTGTATCGAATCTCATTTTCTACAAACGTCGACGTTGTAATATTGTTTTTATCTGTATGTATTTTTACCTTTTCATTGAATTTTTTACGTTGTAATTTCCGCTTGTGAAAAATATAATTGGTTAATTTGGTTGATTGGTCCGGGTACTTGCGAAGGCGGWATGTTGATGAGCTATTGCTTAGCTGGACGCTCACTCGCAATCACCAGAAACTAGACTTTGAGACTGSTGCTACAATTTGAACTATATAATTTAGGATTCTTGCAGCTAAACATTAACTGTCGGATTTGCTCAAAAATAAAACAATATCGAAAAAAAAGATACCGGTAGAACTCATCAAATGGTGCGTGCATTAATACAAAAATCTGAATACTATATTTTTATAAGTATTCMAAATTATATTGACATTGACAAATCACTTATACTTATCTTGTTATATCCTACCTCACTTGTAAAGCCGTTTTTCCTTTATCAGATTGTTTGAAAGGACTGGATTTAGGTCAYCACTCTAAACTGAACGGTAGGCGTTTTATGACTTCTCACATCTTGGAAGAAGTCCCAAGATTATAGAGAAGGCAGCCCAATCTTTTTACAGTTCACAAKCTTACAATATCCGGCAATACCGCTCCGCTTGCTGTATATAAATTGTTTGAAGAGCCACGCCGCGGGTTTTCTTTAAGAAGCATATGAAAAARGCTTGTTCTTGATGTACCTATCTATCACTAGATTCTGTTCTTCCAACACAATATTTATTCAGCTTTCTTTAGCTTGTGTAAACAATCGGCGATTGAATATCGAACTGATATTAGAGACTTAAACGAAAAAATAAATTAGAGTAACATTGTCGGATGCAACTGATATTGCAAAACAGTCTGTAATAAAACTTAAAAGGTAAGAATTAATTGTAGAATGATTTTTTGGTCATTAAAAAAACAAATTTCGTCTAGTGGACGAACAACAATTTATGCGATTCTATGAAACTAACTAAGAGGTYTTTCCATGAGAAGCTATCATAAAGCTATCATATTCGTAACACTTAAATGTCTTCTCGTAAACAAGTGAGTGTTTGTGTTTATGTCAAAAAGTGCTCGTCTTTCTTTGTACAAAATATGATAAGCTATAGTTACAAGACATAAATTAACACGGAACGTGCAGCGACTCTCACGCGTTTACTTGGCTTGGATACAAATGATCATGAATATCACTTTGTCACCCTAAGCCGGTTTGCCCATTTGTTTGATAAATCGCGTAATTGAACGTAAAAGGCAGATTGGTGTTACCATGATAAATGGTAAATGTACATGATGAATAGTTTTTTCGCCATACCAAACCAATTTATATTCTTCTAAAATAGTTGCATTAAATTGTTTTCAAATCGGAGGTATATTGATTTTATTGCAGCCTGTCCTGTTTTCAATGTGGGAAATTATTCTGAGGTGATCTTAAATTACAAATATGGCAACATTCATTTTGGGGAATTTTGATGCCTAACCAAAACAACAAGCTGCGCTAAAAATATCGCTTTATTGGGATGAAGCTATCTCATAATATACGATGTCAAGGGCAGTGCACTTGTAATGTAAATAAAGGAGATTCATGGCAACATGACATAAAACATCTTCATAATTTCTGTGGGCAAATCATAAAAAAGAAAAAAACCCGCATTTTTCAAAGCAGTCCTCTAATGAGAACATTGACAACGAAAGATCGATATTTTGAAGTTGAGGTCCTCTACATTTGTTCTTCATTTCATGACCTGTCCGACTATTGTTCCAGTTAATTAGGATTGGACTGGGTGGTTGATTAAGTACTTTCCAACTTTCTGGCGTTAGTTTCAGTTCGCAAATTACTCTGAATCAGTAGATGTGTCTTTTAAARATACCACAAGGGCGGATCCAGGGGGGGTTAGGATGACCTGCTAACCCCTTTTTCAAGAGTTCAAATAATAATAATATTACGAGGCTCATTCTGAAAAACAACTAAAGCAGCGTTTAGTTGAAAAATCTCACCTCCGCAGCCCTAAATCTATCCATGTAATCTTGTTTCTTGAGTCACGCCCTTCGTAACGTTTTAAATTATCCGCAGTAGCAACCTACAGTCAATCTCATTAACGTTGTTCGCTTGTAAAGACATAAGACAACAATAAATTCATTAGCATAAAAAGGTTTTTAATATTCTCAGGAAGAATTTTAATTCTAAATTTTAGATAAAAAGCGAATAAATCAGCTACTGACATTTTAAAGAAATTTTGGAACTTTATGTTGAAGTACTCTTGCAAAGAAACGAAAAACACTATATATGCAAATGTCTTGTTGTTGTCTAAATGTCTTTACAACTGAATAACGGTAATGGGAATGACTATATGACATATGGATGTTGTTTGGACTTTGATTTGAACACAATAGCCGTCTGCTTAGCCAAATAAATCAAAGATCAGYTCAGAAAAACTAAGTATTTAGCGTTATGGCGAATTTCTTGATTACATTATAAAAATCTAAAAGAAATATAAGTCATTAAGTCCTTACTCGATTTTAACACGTACGTAGATAGTGTCTATTAAACGATTTGTCATTGAAATGAGTAACACCTCAAGAAATGCACCTGTYCTTACTTGAGATCCCAAATGCTTTGGTAATATTTACTATAACAGACTAAAACACTTCTTAATTCAATCTAATTTTTACTAGTTTGAAAGTAGCCTTAAAGTCATTCTTTTTTTTTTTCAAAAAGAGCTTTCTATATCAAGAAAACAAACGATGAGTTACTGAAAAGTTATGTTTCAACGTAAAAAAATCGAAATAATTTTTGAGAATGATGTGCTCTTTTCATAAGTTTCAATAGATGATATTTCATTGTTTCATTAGGTTCTACTGCACCGTGTCTACTGAATCTCTCTTGGTTACCCACAGAAAGCTGGTCTTAAAGCTGCATCATGCTTGACCAAGAACATACAAGGAAATTAACCCTTGAATTAGCTGAACGTTCAACTGCTMAGGTCGTTGCAGAAGCAGGGACAATGATCGTTATTGTTACCGCAGCTTTGTTTGGAAATTCGTGTGTTTTATRTGTGTTCTTCAAGTCGCCAAGATTTCGCAGTGTAACCAACTACTACCTGATTGCTCTGTCTTTGTCAGATGTTCTTTACTCGATGATTATAATGCCGCTTGTCATAATCGTGTCAATATATGGTAGAGACGTTCTCGGGTCAAGTGTTGGTCAAGTTGGAGGATTTCTTGCTTACTTCTTTGTTTCTGGATCGTTACAGACGACAACGCTGATCGCAGTCAACAGATTCTTCTGTGTGGTGAAACCAGAGACTTACCGCAAATATTTCAAACCAAAGCCCGCCCTACTCATGATCATTGGGATGTGGGTATTTTCAGCCTTCAATGCGGGAGGCGTGTATGTTAGCGGTATCGCAAAGTTTGAGTTCTATCCTGGGCGATTTTGTTATCTTCTTCACTTCAAGGATCAGACTGCAGGGGTAATCTATAGTTTTATTTCGCTCTTTTTGTTTACTATTTTACCAATGTCCATTACTGGAATCAGTTACTGGAAAATCTATAAAGTTGTACAGGGGCACCAGAATGCTGTGGCATCGTCGCTGAACACTGGMCCCTCCACAAACAGCCCAACTTTGACCAGAGAAGAAATCCGCATCACTAGATCAGTGCTRGCGCTTGTGTGTGGCTTTGTRATCTGCTGGTTTCCACCAGCTGTCGTTATCAATGTGGCAGTTTTTCACAATCTCTCCCGCTATGCTGAGATGATTTTCATTTATACTTCGACCCTAAGCACTGTAACAAATCCCATTGTATTCAATGTATTCAACAAACCTTTCAGAAGAGAGTTTCTAAACATATTTAGATGTGGGAAATCCCTCGAAAAAGCACGTCCACGACCGAACAGAGGAACTGTACCCGAGTTGCATACAAATTAGCGGAATTTTCACATAATGATTGAAACTAACGATAAACTAGTGTGAACTGCGTCGGTGTTCGGAGCTGTATTATACACAAAAATAAGAATTAAAAAACCTCTGAACAAATCAGAATTCATTAACTTTAACATATATTTCGTCAAAACGCACTAAACCACTTCTTCAGATGCATTTGCGTATGCCACCAATCTCCCTCATTTGCAGTCTGGTCGAACGCACTTATGAAAAGAGCTAAATAAACAATATGGCTCAATTACGTTCAGATCTCTCAGACTTTCAAGAGAACAGACCGYTACCCGTCATAGTTCAGTGTTTTTCTGCAACAAATATGAAAACAGACTGACAATGTMATGTTCATCGATTCTATTTATTGAACTATTTTACTTGAATATTACAATTTACTAATATTCCCATGTGTTGATATGCTTTTGACGCGGGCATTATTACTGGCTGTTACTGTCAGGTTCCCTGAATTAGCGTGGTCCTCTTGATGGGCGTGGTCTCCCGGATGGACGTCCAGATGGGCGTGGTCTCCTGGATGGACGTGGTCTCCTGGATGGACGTCCAGATGGGCGTGGTCTCCGGGATGGACGTGGTCTCCTGGATGGACGTGGTCTCCTAGCGTCTTCACTATCATGCTTATGTGGTCGTGGTCTTCTGGATGGGCGTCCAGATGGGCGTGGTCTCTTGGATGGGCGTCCGGAGGGACGTGGTCTCCTGGATGGACGTCCAGATGGGCGTGGTCTCCTGGATGGACGTCCAGATGGGCGTGGTCTCCTGGATGGACGTCCGGATGGGCGTGGTCTTCTGGATGGTCGTCCAGATGGGCGTGGTCTTCTGGATGGACGTCCAGATGGGCGTGGTCTCCTGGATGGACGTCCGGATGGACGTGGTCTCCCGGATGGGCGTGGTCGCCTTGCATCTTCACTGTCACTCTCGAGCTTCTTTGATGGTCTATTGCCTTTAATACATTTCATGAAAGCTTTTCGGCATTCCCTCTTCTTTCCACGATCGTCTCCAGCAGCTTTAAAGCACTTTTTCGCTGCCATTCTGCACTTCACCTTCAATTCAATATTTATAGAATTAAAAAATATTCAGTGAGTAAAAAATAGCGTTAATCCTGACGATCATCAACAACAATCACTCATTATCATATTGTAAATGATCCCTGAAACTTTATATCGTCACTTTATATATTACTAAGTCCATTTAATACTGTAGTAATTAAAAAGGACTTACAACAAAAGGAGGCCGGGATGGACGTCCAGATGGGCGTGGTCTCCTGGATGGGCGTCCAGATGGGCGTGGCCTCCTGGATGGGCGTCCAGATGGGCGTGGCCTCCTGGAAGGGCGTCCGGATGGGCGTGGTCTTAGTGCATCTTCACTGTCAGTTTGAGAATCGGCAAGACTGTGATCCTAAACAGGAGTGTGATCCTAAACAGTCGAGTGGACTACGAGCTAATAGCCCATGAGGCCGAGTCCGCGAGGCCGAATGGGCTATTAGCTCGTAGTCCACGAGGCCGAGAGGTCTAATTGTTTTAGTATAAACATACTAATCGCGGTCAAATAATGAAAAAAATTGAAATATCCTTAAAATAATTTATAAGTTATAATTTATTTATTTTGATTTTCCCGCGAGTGGTCTATCACAAATTAGACCATTAGTAGAGCAGCCAATCACAGCGCAGTATGAGATTAGTATGTTTATACTAATGTGCTTTAGTTATTGAGGA